TTGGTTTTCACCACAATTCTATGAGAATGAATAAATTGTGTGATGGCATTTGTAGTGAATTCAACAATTCAGTGGCTGGGTGTACCGGTTTATGCTCATATACCTTGTGGGGTGCTGAGTTTCGAGTGTTTCTTCTGACACATCGGGCGGGAATTTTCGACCACCACGTGCCACATTCGAGTCGTACAAGGTGGAGTCATGCAGACAACGCTTATATATTGGATCGCGAGCTGCATGGCGTCCAATCGAGGTGCATCACATGAAGAAATGCATGCGGCCATTCAGAGATACATGCGTGCGAAAATTGGCACGCCCCGTGGTGACTTGGAGAAAATGCGCCTCGTCCAGATTGCACCGTGGCACACAAACATTCACTTAAAAGGTGTGGCGACTGACCGAGTACGACCTCCAGGTAGGTGCGTGTCAGAGGTCCACTGGTGATCCCCGATTGATCCTAGGGAAGGGTTACAGGCACGTTGGCCTGGGGGGTTATGGGCGCACTCACCCGCTACACAAACAAGCCCTTTTATCCCAGTGGTTAGTGACTGGGATTCTGACATAGTATCAGAGCGAAGGTCTCGGGTTCGTTTCCCGGTGTGTGCACCTCGGGCATCCCAGTGCGGGGGGGTGTCAGAGGTCCACTGGGGATCCCCGATGATCCTAAGGAAGGGTTACAGGCACGTCGGCCTGGGGGGTTATGGGCGCACTCACCCACTACACAAACAAGCCCTTTTATCCCAGTGGTTAGTGACTGGGATTCTGACAGTGCGCCCTCATGAAAGATGGATTAGATTTCGCAACAACCCCGCAACCATGGCGACACATTCTTTAAGTTATTTCGGGGGAAATACGCCCTTCGAATTAGGGCGTTAGGCTCAAACTCTGAGGTATAAAAGTCAGAGAGTGGTACGTTTTTCATTTTGCAGATTCTCCTTCTCTTTTGATCATTTTCTTCCCACTCCAACTACTCTGCACCCCACTTTCCTTAGTCGATGGAGCCCTCTATTGAACTCGAGGGGGCTGGTCTGCGTGTGCGGTTGTCGCGTTTAGAGTTCGAAAACTTGCGGGGCCAGGAAGCGGAATGGTCCGAGAACATTCTCAACTTTGTGCTGCTGTAAGTCGCACTCGAATTGAGTGGTACTTTTTCGAGTTTTCTTACCATCTAAACGACGTCCCCCATCTAGCTGTAACATTTGTGAGCTTGTTTGGTACTCCGAGCTGTGACGTGTTTCGTAAACATCCACTGTCGTCCACCACCGATTGCATCTAGCGGTAGGCTGTTCGAGGATTAGTTCAGCTCTACGTCACTCATAAACTTTCGAGATTTTGGTATCCTAGCTGGAATGTGAGCTGTAGCGATCGCCTCTTGAAACCATTTTTCGAGCGTGTTGTCTCGTAATCTTTCGCAGGATGCTTGCCAAAAACAGGCTGACCGCGGAGCAGCTTTCGAAGGTCGAAATCGTCCCCATGAGTCGGGTCAACGTCGCCAAGGCGAAAGTCCCACTCGAACCTATGGGTCCAGGCAGACTCACAGGTCTCCTTGGCAAGAAACTATGCATCTTCCCGTTATGGTCCAGGTGGGCTCGAATATACGAAGTTGATTTCGAAATTATTTGTACGGCTTTGTTTCTTCCCTTGAGATTTTTCTAAAGGTGTCTATTATTTCGCCACACCACCCCTTGCAGTATCACTGCGGAACCGAAGGCGCGTTGTAGCCTCTTTGTTCTCGTACGCCCCGACAGTCTGGCGGCCCACCCGAAGTTACCGGTTCAGACGCGTCTTTTGCATTTCGACCCGAAAGCCACTTCTCCGACTCATAAGCACGCCGATCTCGCCCAAAGTATTGTGCGGTGAGTATCCGCCGTTTATGCGGCATCCGTGCGTATTGCAATGTGAACGACGCTCAGTGAAGTCGGACCTCTTATGTTGAGCAGGTGGCTTGAGCAGCAGCTCTTGATGGAATATTCAAGAGGGGAAGCGAACTTGGGGGAAGCGACCTTGGTCGGAGAGACCCAGGAAGTATTTCGCGACATTCGTAAGCGCATCACAGGCGGCTGGAAGCTCGACAAAACTGGGGTCAGTTATCGAATACAGTGCTACGTGCCAGCTTATTATCGAAAACATGGCCGTGCTGACGCTTTTCCGCATCCGTGTTGTTGCAGAAGCTAACTCAGTCACTCGGCCAAAGGGAGGTTGGTTCGGGACTTCACGTGGCCTACCAGTGGTGCAAGATGCTCGATCATTTCGACGCCATTCTGCAGCAATAGACGAGGGACAAAAAATTCCTCTCTTTGGGTACCCCACAATACAGTCGAGAGAATATTCTGGATGACATACTCACCGACTGTGGGAAGTATTTCGACAAGGTTGCGCGTGGTGAAACTACGGGTGAGGGGGAAGAGGATGACAACTTGGTCCATCATGGGCCTGTCGTAGAGGACACAGGGCCCCCGCCAAAAATTGATGCGGAAATAGTCGCTGTAGGGGCGCTGGTTTCTGACAGCGTTCGAATGGGTCCGGCCAACGAGCATCAAAGCGTGACGGAGGGGGAGCGTCGGCTGATGGACACAGACGTGTCAACGAGAACAGACTGGAATGGGGCAACTAGCAGTGAGTTTGGTACAAATATGCAACCCTAGAATGGTGACCCTCCTATAGGCTAACCCACTATAGCCTACACAGATATAACATGTATAATGTTTGACACACCCCCATAGGCGAAGTGGGAGAGACCTAGGGGTCACAAGACCAGTCAGGGCAAAGCAAGGCAAAGCAAGCTCAGGGTGGATCTCGAGGATTCCACACAAATTCCGAGCACAAGCAAGTGGTCACAAGACCAGTTCACATACAGGTTTATAACAAAGCAAGAAATACAGGTTTATAACAAAGCAAGAAATACAAGACAAGTTCACAGGTTTATAACAAAGCAAGAAATACAGTGATCACAACCTAGCAAGAGTAAACAAGCAGGTATAAGCATATATAGTGATCACAGTACAAGCAAGGTCAAGAGGTAAGCAAGTGAGGTCCAGCAGGCACAAGGCCTAGTAGAGTGCAGAGGCGCTGATGGTCACGAGGCTGAAGTGCCTTGGTGAACACATCAGCAGTGTTGGCCTCAGTGGCCACGTAGCGAATACAAAGCTGACCGCGCTGCTGCAGCTCTCGAGCAAGGAAGTACCGCAGGGCGATGTGCTTCGTTCTGTGCTCCAGTCTGTGCTCCTCACACAAGGCAATGGCAGCCTTGTTGTCAACGTACAGCACTGGAGGAGAACGAGGCTGCTCTCCGAGGTCGGTCAGCAGGTAGGTCAGCCAGCGTAGCTCCTGGGCAGCCATGGCTGTAGCGTAGATCTCAGCCTCGCAACTGGAGCCGAGAACAGAAGAAGAGCGTGTAGAGCGCCAAGAAACTGAGCTAGAGCCAAGGCTGAAGGTGTAACCCTGAGACGACCGCTGAGTGGCCTGGTCGTCTGCCCAAGAAGCGTCTGAGTGCCCTGTGAGAACAACTCGGTCTCGCCCTCCAAGCACAAGCCCCATGCCCGACGTACTGCACAAGTAGCGCAACACCCTCTTAGCGGCATCCATGTGCTCCTTCCTGTGACGGCCAGGAGCAACATAGCGTGCAAGGATGCTAAGAGGGTATGCAAGGTCAGGTCGAGTGCAGGTCATCAGGTACATGAGGCAGCCCACAAGCTCTGGATACGGGCCACTCGGCTCTACGGACTCATCCGAAGGCAGAGCTGAGAGCGAGTGACCAGTAGGCAGAGGAGTGGACTGAGGCGAGGAGTACGTGAAGTGGAAGCGCTGGAGAACCTGCTGCACCATGTGTGACTGAGTCAGGGTGATGGTGCGCCGTGCTCTGTCCCGGGTGATTTGCAAGCCAAGATAGCTTGTCAGCTCACCCAGGTCTGTGCACGTGTGTCTCCTCTGCAGCTCCGACTTCACGTGGGCGAGTCCTGCAGTGTCGGCAGTGGCAAAGACCAAGTCGTCGACGTACACGAGGATGTAGAACGGCGGCAGCGAAGTGTCGGTGCGCAGGAACAGCGACGGGTCAGCTGTAGAAGGCGCGAACCCAAGAGCCGCAAGTGTAGTCCTCAGTGTGTCGTGCCACTCACGCGGAGCCTGGCGGAGACCGTAGACCGGCCGCTGAAGCCTCCACTGGGTACCAGGAGGAAACGACCCAGTGAAGCCAGGTGGGCGACGCAGCCAGATCTCCTCGTGCAGGCTGCCCTGCAAGAAAGCAGTGCTGAAGTCAAGTGAGTGAAGCTCGTAGTCACGGTGAGCGGCTATGTGCAGCAGCACCCGAAGAGTAGTCATCTTCGGGGTGGGGGAGAAGGTCTGGAAGAAGTCAACTCCCTCTCGCTGACTGAAGCCTCGAGCCACGTAACGCGCCTTGAAGACAGGCGGAGAACCTGGCAGCCGCTTCACCCTGAAAATCCACATGCCACTGACGATGTTCGCCCCAGGAGGGGGAACCTCGTCGACGTAGGTGCGTGTGGACTTCCAGGAAGCCATCTCGGCGTCCATGGCTGTCTGCCACTGAGAGGAGTAGGGACCCGCCATCGCCTCAGCGTAAGTGCGCGGGGTCGGGATGTCTGGTGCATCTGGGTCTCCCTCAGGGGCAACTAGCAAGGACACGAGACGGGGCAAAGCAGCAGCAAGATACTGGAACTCCTCCTGTCTGTCCTCAAGGACGTCCGTGCCAAGAGCACACTCACCCCCGACGGACGGAGGACAGACAGACTCAGACTCAGACTCAGACTCAGCAACAAGGCTAGTAGCGTAGTCTAGACGACAGGCAGCAGCAAAGTCAACAAACTCAGCGACCAGTGCAGACGCAGTCGAGGACTCAAAGGTAGGGTCAGTGACAACAGTAGCGAGGAGACGCGTGACAGTAGGGTGCTCAGCACGATACCGGTCAGACTCAAGGTCCGGAACGTCAGGCAAAGAGGACGCAGGAGGAGACGGTAGAGGGATACGCTGAGGAGCAGTAGAGGGAGGCAGAGTCATGTAGTGAGTGCCTTGGACAGGAGGAGGACGCTCACGACGGACACGACTACCAGTGCGAGCAGGACGAACAGGCGACGCAGGACGAGAATCAGGCTCACGACGCTCTGTAAGACCTCCTGTGGGACCAGTGTAAGGAGAGGGAGCAGGGAGAGGCGAGGTAGGCGGTAACTGTGACTGCGGCTGGACAGGCGGAGGACACTCTACGGAGGGAGGAGGACAAGGAGGAGGAGCCTGCCCAAGAACCTGCTGAAGGAGCGGTACGAAGTACGGTCGCGGCCGCGCAGCGTCTCCAGAAGCAGAAGAGACTCCAGCGGCCGGGTCCTCAGTACCAGCAGGAGCTCCAGCGTCCGGGTCCACAGCACCAGCAGCAGCTCCACCGGCCGGGTCCTCAGCACCAGTAGCAGCTCCAACGCCCGGGTCCTCAGCAGCAGCAGCAGCGCCACCGCTCGGGTCCTCAGCTCCAGCAGCAGCTCCAACGCCCGGGTCCTCAGCACCAGTAGCAGCTCCAACGTCCGGGTCCTCAGCACCAGCAGCAGCGCCACCGCTCAGGTCCTCAGCACCAGCAGCAGCTCCAACGTCTGGGTCCTCAGCACCAGCAGCAGCGCCACCCCCAGGGTCCGCAGCACCAGGAGCACCACTCCGAAGACTGCAGCGCCGTGTGTACCACTCGCGGATCTGCTGAATGGGGGGGAGCTCCTAGGTAGGAGGGGAAGTACCGGGACGAGCTCCAGCAGCACCTCTCCGGAGGCGGCAGTACTCGAGGTACCTCTCCTGCAGCTGCTGGGAGGAGAGGGCTCCTCCAGGTGTAGCACGCTCAGGATCAGCACCTCCAGACTCAGCACCCCCAGACTCAGCACCCCCAGGCTCAGCACCTCCAGGCTCCGCACCTCCAGGCTCCGCACCTCCAGGCTCAGCACCCCCAGGCTCCGCACCCCCAGACTCAGCACTCCCAGGCTCAGCACCCCCAGACGCAGCACCCCCAGGCTCAGCACCCCTAGCAGGACGAGAGTCAACAGCTACCTCGACAGGCTCACCCGGGTCTACCTGGGACACACCTGAGGGAGCGGCACCCTGAGGGGGGAGGGGGTCTGGTACCTCAGCACCTGGAGCGAGGAAGAGAGGCGGGGGGGGAGCGGGGCAGTGCGGTAGGGGAAGAGGCGGTAGTAGGGGACGGACTCGTCAAAAGTGACGTCCTGAGAGGCCAGGACACGACGCGAGGTGGGGTGGTAGAACTGCCAGCCAGGGGCGTCCGGGACAAAGCCAAGGAAGACGCAGGGGACAGCGCGACGGGAGAGCTTGTCCGCGGACGTGTCGCGGACAAAAGCTCGGGATCCCCAGACCCGAAAACGTGACGCATCGCCAGCCTCTCCCGTCCAACGCAGTGTCGGAGAAGTCTCGGGCAAGGAGACACGGGGCCAGAGGTTGAGCTGATGCGCAGCGTATCGGATTGCAAACGGCCACAGAAAATGGGGGGCAGCCGCATGGCTCAAGGAGGTACGAGCGACCTCCATGACCAGACCAATGCGGCGCTCAGCAACCCCATTCTGCTGTGGAGAGGCCGGAAGCGTGTACGACTGCTCAATGCCCTCCTGCTGACAGAAGGCCTCCAATAGGCCAGAGGAAAACTCCCCACCTCTGTCAGAGTGCAGACGCAGGACAGGGAAGTCGGAGCGGAAACGCTCACTGAGCTGGAGACGAGATCTGCGGATCCAAGGGATCAAGACATCAGGGACGTCACCCTTGGCGTGCAAGGGGAAGACCGTGGTGTAGCGCGAGAAGTCGTCAACAACAATCAGGAAGTACCTCTCCTGACCCTGGCCACGGACGCGGGCTGGGCCCCACACGTTCAGGGAGCGTCTGCAAAGGAGCAGTCGTCGGGGGAAAGGAGGAGGAATGAGGAGCGGCGCGCTGCCGCCCCTCGACACAGGGAATACAGGGAGGAGCAGGCGAGTCTGGAAGGGGAGGGAGTACCCTGGGAAGCCCAGCAACAAGGTCCCGTTGGTGCATGGCCCGAAGGCGCTGCACAGACGGGTGACCAAGGCGGTGGTGCCAAAGGACAGTCTCATGTGCCAGAGAGCGACACGAGCAGGGGGCGGACAGCTGACCTGACACAGACGCAGACGCAGACGCGGACGCAGCTACCTGAGGGGACTCAGTGGTCAGTGTGTAAAGGTCCGACCCCGGCTCTCGAGTGAAGGTAGCCAGGTGGCGACCCGTCCGAGCACACGTGCAGTGTGTCACGTGCTCGTAGGCAGGGGTGAACTGATGAACACCCCCGTCCTGGAGCTCTCGGCCTGCCACCAAGTTCGTAGAGAACGAGGGGAGGTAGAGACCTGACAGCGTGCCGGACGGGACCGCAGGACAAGGAAGGACAGTGGAGGAGGTCGCAATGACCGGACCCCCAGAGGGGTCAGCAAGGGAGACAGCAACTGGCCGAGCGAGTGGCTCAAGGACAGTGCGGTCATGAAAGAAAGAGCGAGAAGCACCTGAGTCCAGTGTGAAGGTGTGCAGTGCTGCAGTCGACTCAGTACCAGGGGGCACAGACGCACGAGCACCTAGGGCAGCAGCCTCACCAGGACCTGTGGGAGCGGACGCACTAGCACCTAGAGCGGCAGCCGGACTGGCCTGAATGCCCGGGTCGGGCGGAACACGCAAGTACTGAGCACTCTCTCCACTAATAGACATCGCATACATGGCAGTGAGAATAGCATCAAAGTCTAGAGCCCAAATATCAACACCCCTCTTTTCCAGATCAGCCCAGCGCGGCAACTCAGTGGCAGCAGGAAACTGGGTGCGCCACGCGTCGTTAAGGCGCGCGAAACAGCGCTGCGTGGGGTGCGGCCTCCCACACTGCTGGCCGCTGCGGTCACCTGTGCGAATGACGTACGTGCAGGTACAGCCACGCTGCGCATACCACTCACGGGCGGCCTGAAGTGTCGGGGCGGGCTGCTGACTCTGTCCTCCGCCAGTGCCTCCACGACCACCACCCCCACCGCCGCCGCCCCGGCCACCTCCACCCCTGCCGCCGCCACGACCACCTCCGCCTCCGCTGCCGCCTCCGCCACCACTCCCACCGCTGCTGTCTCCTCCCCCACTGCCGCCACTAGTCTCCCCAGCCGCGCCTCCACTCCCACCGCCTCCACCCCCACCTCCTCCGCCGCCACCCCCACCCCTGCCCCCCTTGCTCCTGCGGCGCCCGCTCGAAGCAGACGCGGTCCCGACCTTCTCAGCACCAAGGAGGTCGACAGCAGCAGCAGAGGCGACAGAGGGGAGGAGAGGGGAAGGGGAACACCCCTCAAAGAACGGGGTGCGGGGGTCGCCACGAGAGGTGCCTACAGCGACGATGCTCGCCTCAGCTGCAAGTAGTTCCTTCTCGAGGAGGGCAACAGTGAGCTCAGTGGGGGAGCGAGAGAGGAAGTGGTCCCTGACTGCGCGCAGAGAGTCAGGGAGGCGGGTGACGATGTGGTAGAGAGTGATCCAGAGCGGGGGGGGGTTGCTAGTGAGAAACTCGGCAGGCATAGCAGCGCGAAAGCGGGCCTCACTAGTCTTAAGGTGGGTGATGAGGTCTGCGACAGTGTGAAAGGAGGCTAGGTCGGGGAACAGGTAGGGGAGAGTGAGGCGGCCTAGCGTGGCAGAAGCTGGCGAGGAGTAGCGGGCAACTACAGCGGTGTAGAGGTCCTTAGCAGTCTTGCACTGGCCGAAGTGCTCGCGCTCGTCTAGCGGCAGGGAGTTGCGAATAGCAAAGCGAGCGTGCGCATCACGGGTCTGCCACTGGGAACGCAGAGTGCTGTCAGCAGACGAGTCAGGGGCAGTGGCATGGCCTAGGGCGTGGTCGTACAGTGAGATATCTTCCTTGGCAGTGAGCTGTAGGAACAGGTGCAGGTCATCTAGCCAGGTTTCGAACTTCACTGGACGGCCCTCGGCATCGAAAGCGAGTACGGTAGGACTAGCCATAGTGACAGTAGCAGTAGCAGTAGTAGCAGTAGTAACAGTAGTAGTAGGAAGCGTGGCAGCAGGAACTGCAACGGCGCACTGGTGGCAGCTGCAGTGGCAGCAGTGTGCGCGGTAGGTAGAAAATAAAACAGTGAGAGCAAGTGCCTCGCGGGCGGCGGCTGCAGAAGCGCACGGGCGGCAGCGGCGCACAGGTAACGGCGGTGCACGGGCAGCGGCGGCGCTCGGAAGGCAGCGGTGCGCAAGCAGCAGCGGAAGCAGCGGCGTACGAGCGGCTGCGGGCAGCGGGGCGTGCGCGAGCAGACGACGGGCGGCTGCGGGGCGTGTGCGAGCAGGCGACGGGCGGCTGCGGGGCGTGCGCGAGTAGGCGACGGGCGGCTGCTGGCGGGCGGCCGCTGCGACGGCGGGCTGCGGGCCTGCGGGGCGTGCGCGAGCAGGCGACGGGCGGCTGCGGGGCGTGCGCGAGCAGGCGACGGGCGGCTGCGGGGCGTGCGCGAGCAGGCGACGGGCGGCTGCGGCGGGCTGCGGGCCTGCGGGGCGTGCGCGAGCAGGCGACGGGCGGCTGCGGGGCCGTAAAGGGCGGTGCGCGGGGCCGTAAGGGGTGGTGCACGGGGCCGTAAGAGGCGAGCGCGGGGCCGTAGCGGGGCCTTAAGGAGCGGCGTGGCGGGGCCGTAAGGGGCAAACGCGGGTCCGACGGGGCTTAAGGGGCGGCGCGACGGGGCCTTAAGGGGCGGGTCGCGGGTCGCGGGATGTAGGGGCCGTTAAAAAAAGTTCGAGGCGCCCTAGGTAGGTAGGTAGGTAGGTAGGGAACGGTGGGCCCTTAAAAAAAACGGTCCTAGCGAAGGACCTGCTCTGAAACCATGTCAACGAGAACGGACTGGAATGAGGCAACTAGCAGTGAGTTTGGTACAAATATGCAACCCTAGAATGGTGACCCTCCTATAGGCTAACCCACTATAGCCTACACAGATATAACATGTATAATGTTTGACAAGACGACGCACATGGTCGGAGGGAGAGTGCGCGCGAGGTATTGCGTGGAATGAGGGAGACGCAGCAGAGGGCAGCAGTCGCCAAAATTCAGCGCTGCGGATTGGAGGCCGTACAGCAGAAGGGGGAGGGGGAGAGCATGGAGGAGCTACCAATGGCTTTACAGGCAGTGCATCTCCCCGTCGAGAATGATGAACAGGATCAGGGGCAGAGGATGGAAGGCGAAACCAGGATGGTGTATCAGAGGCGTGAGGCACGAACAAAGAAGAGGTATGATGAGGGTTGGGAAGAACGCGATGCGGTGGACGCGAATGAGAGGGTGGAACAGGAGCGTATCATGTTCGATGACGAGGGTCGAGAGTTTCGCGCGACGGAGGGGGATAGGGAGGGAGATGAACGGGAGCAGGAGAGGGTCGAGGACGAGAGGCGTCTTGAGCGCGAAAATGAGGATGCGTTGCAGAGAGAGGTAGGGAGTGAAGGAATCAAGGAGCAAAGGTCGTTGGAGCTCGAAAATAAGGAGGCACGACAGAGGGTGGAAATGGAGGGGCTCGAGGAAGAGCGGAAGAGGGAGGAGGCGAGGACGGTGGAACGCGAAAAACAGGAGGAACGGCAGAGGGAGGAGGAAGAGCGGAAACGGGAGGAGGCAAGGAAGGTGGAGCGCGAATAACAAGAGGCGCGGCAGCGGGAGGAGGAAGAGCGGAAGAGGGAGGACGAGATGAAGGTGGAGCGCGAAAAAGAAGAGCGGCTGAGGGAGGAGGAAGAGCGGAAGAGGGAGGAGGCGAGGAAGGTGGAGCGCGAAAAGGAGGAGAGGCAGAGGGAGGAGGCGAGGACGGTTGAGCGCGAAAGGGAGGTGAATCTGCAGAGGCAGGCGGAAGAGCGGATGAGGGAGGAGGCGCGGAAGGTGGAACGCGAAAAAAAGGAGGCGAAGCATCGGGAGGAGGAAGAACGGAAGAGGGAGGATGCAAGGAAGGTGGAGCGGGAAAAAGAGGAGAGGCAGAGGGAGGAGGAAGAGCGGAAGAGGGAGGCAAGGAAGGTGGAGCGCGAAAAACAGGAGGCGCGGCAGCGGGAGGAGGAAGAACGGAAGAGGGAGGAGACGCGAAAGATGGAGCGCAAAAAGGAGGATACTAGGCAGAGGGAGGAGGTAGAGCGGAAGAGGGAGGAGGCAAGGAAGGTGGAGCGCGAAAAACAGGAGGCGCGGCATCGGGAGGAGGAAGAGCCGAAGAGTGAGGAGGCGAGGAAGGTGGAGCGCGAAAACGAGGAGAGGCAGAGGGAGGAGGAAGAGCGGGAGAGGGAGGAGGCGAGGAAGGTGGAGCGCGAAAAAGAGGAGAGGCAGAGGGAGGAGGAAGAGCGAGAGAGGAAGGAGGCGAGGAAGGTGGAGCGTGAAAAAGAGGAGAGGCAGAGGGAGGAGGAAGAGCGGAAGAGGGAGGAGGCGAGGAAGGTGGAGCGCGAAAAAGAGGAGAGGCAGAGGGAGGAGGAAGAGCGGGAGAGGGAGGAGGCGAGGAAGGTGGAGCGTGAAAAAGAGGAGAGGCAGAGGGAGGAGGAAGAGCGGAAGAGGGAGGAGGCGAGGAAGGTGGAGCGCGAAATGAAGAAACGGCAGCAGGAGCTGGAAGAGCGAAGGAGGGAGGAGGCGAGGAAGGTGGAGCGCGAAAAGGAGGAGAAGCGGCAGCAAGAGCTGGAAGAGCGGAAGAGGGAGGATGCGAGGAAGGTGGAGCACGAACAAGAGGAGAGGCAGAGGGAGGAGGAAGAGCGGAAGAGGGAGGAGGCGAGGAAGGTGGAGCGCGCTAAGGAGGAGAAGCGGCAGAAGGAGGTGGAAGAGCGGAAGAGGGTGGAGGCAAGGAAGTTGGAGCGCGAAAATGAGGAGAAGCGGCAGAAGGAGCTGGAAGAGCGGAAGAGGGAGGAGGCGAGGAAGGTGGAGCGCGAAAAGGAGAAGCGGCAGAAGGAGCTGGAAGAGCGGAAGAGGGAGGAGGCGAGGAAGGTGGAGCGCGAAAAGGAGGAGAAGCGGCAGAAGGAGCTGGAAGAGCGGAAGAGGGAGGAGGCGAGGAAGGTGGAGCGCGAAAAGGAGGAGAAGCGGCAGATGGAGCTGGAAGAGCGGAAGAGGGAGGAGGCGAGGAAGGTGGAGCGCGAAAAGGAGGAGAAGCGGCAGAAGGAGCTGGAAGAGCGGAAGAGGGAGGAGGCGAGGAAGGTGGAGCGCGGAAAGGAGGAGAAGCGGCAGAAGGAGCTGGAAGAGCGGAAGAGGGAGGAGGCGAGGAAGGTGGAGCGCGAAAAGGCGGAGAAGCGACAAATGGAGCTGGAAGAGCGGAAGAGGGAGGAGGCGAGGAAGGTGGAGCGCGAAAAGGAGGAGAAGGGGCAGTGGGAGCTGGAAGAGCGGAAGAGGGAGGAGGCGAGGAAGGTGGAGCGCGAAAAGGAGGAGAAGCGGCAGTGGGAGCTGGAAGAGCGGAGTAGAGAGGAGGCGAGGAAGGTGGAGCGCGAAATGGAGGAACGGGATCGGAACAGGGTGGAGGCCAATGAGCGAGAAACGGGCGGAAAGGAGGCGAGGGAGAGGGACGAGCGAGATCGAAACAGGCTGGAGGCAGGGCCGCGAGATGCGCGCGAAAGGGAAGAGGCGCGGCAGAGGCAAGAACGGGAGCGTAAGAGAGCCGAAAGCGAACGCCGAAGGCATGAGCTGAGAAGACTAGAGCGCGAAAGGCAGGTGGCTGAACATGGTGCCGGACGGCAGCGGGGGTGCGATGGAACCCGTCACACAAACGAGGGCCAGAGGGGCGCGAGGGTCCCACCCCTCGCGGGTCGGGGTGCAGGGGAAGGAGCACGACAAGTGGTGGTTGGCGACCAGCAAACCGTGGGGCAGCATGGGACGACGGTTCGTCGGGCAGCGGGGGCGGGTTTAGCGGGATTGGGGACTGGCGGTCCGAGACAGGTTATTCAGCGAGATGGTGGCCAGCGTGATGTGCAAACAGCTCAGAACAGGGTTGCCGAGGGAGACCGTAGGAGGCTCGAGCAGTCAAGGCCAGCCGGTCGGCGAGAGAGTGAAGCGCGGCGAACGCTACGGGGTGAGCGAGAAGCGGAGGAGCGTGTCTGGCGTGGGGTGGGATGGGCAGTGGAGGGAGGATGAGTGGAAGAGGAGCTGGAGAGTGCGACGAGTGCGCTCCCTATTCAGAGGCGCTGTGCGCGTGAGGCAGAGGGTCCTGCTGCGGTGCAGGCGGAGGGACTAGAGGAGGGTGAATGGGTGGCTGTGGAGAGGGTACTGGAGGAACAGGAGAATGCCGGCCCCCAGGTTTTCGAGGAGACGGCGGGTGGATTTGAGGAGGCTGGCGATCGCATCGCAGCTAGCGGCAGGGTGCAAACCTCGTCAGAGTTAATGCGGCGTCTGACGTTGGTGGCGAGGTCTGTGGCCAGGATTTCGTCGGAGCATGGTGTCCGCATCAGCGAATGCATGGCCGAGATCCGCCAGTTTGGTTCGCAGATGCAGGGATGGGACATGCACTATTTGCAGGACTACGACGATCTCACAAACAAGTACCACGAGCTCAAAGATTCAGTGGTCCGAGAGCGCGCGGAGCTCGTCCAATTGCGTACTGCTCTGGCGACGACTGCCGCCGAGGCACGAGCGGCAGCAGCTGATGCTGGTCGAGCAGCTGCAGCAGCGGCTGTTGGAGCATTGCAGGAAAAGTTAGCTGGGTTTTTTCAAAACGTATGAGGAGAAGCTGAAGGGTGTGGTGGAGCAGGCAATAGAACGTGCGTCAAAAGGGGGGAAGCTGGAGGCCACGATCGCTCCCATCTCCATGGAACACGTGCAAAAAGCTTTTGACAAAAGCGTCATCGATGTGGGGGAGGATCTCAGAACGGCAGACGACCAAAACCAGCTGACTTTCAAAGCGATTCAGAAGGCTCTGGCAGAATTGGGAGAAAAGCTCAGAGGGCCGACTGGACCCATCAGGGTTGAAAATCCCGCAGCTGTCAGAGTCGATGCCACTCCAACCCCTGCGCGAACGCACACCGAATCAGAGTCTCCGGACATCCCTATTTCCGCGGCTCAAAAAGTCATGGAAAGGTTTGCCGCGACATCGGAGGACGCGGCGGGTGACGTGGGTGGGGCGGGTGGGGCAGGCGCCGGTGTGGCAGATGTGTACTTGTCTGAGCCGGTGAGCAGAAACTGGAGAGAGTCTTTTCGGGCGAAAGAGTTGCAGAAAGAGAAGGACAAGGAAAGCGACGAGAGGAGGGCGACAGATGCTCGCAATCGGTCTGCTATTCAAACGGCGCAAACGACCGCAGCTCAGAAGAGACGGGCTGTGGTGGGGGTGGGGAATCCCAGAGGCGATGATGGGACTGGGACTGTTGTTAGCAGCGGTAGAGAGGCGGAAAACCGTGCGACAACTATAACAGCGGAACCAGGAACCTTGCGTGCAACCATGGCCGAGAGGAGGAAAGCGGAACAACGGAAGAAGGCCGAGGAGGACCGCATGCGTGCACAGGAGGAGGAAAGGGCGCGGCAGGATAAGGTGGTGGTAGAGCGGGCCGCCCGAGCGCGAGAGGAAAAACGCAAGGCGGATGAAGCGAAGAGGGTGCGGGAGGAGCAGGCGAAGGAGGCAGCTCGGGTGGAGAGAGAGGCGGAGGAAAAACGCAAGGCGGATGAAGCGAAGAGGGTGCGGGAGGAGCAGGCGAAGGAGGCAGCTCGGGTAGAGAGAGAGGCTGAGGAAAAACGCAAGGCGGATGAAGAGAAGAGGGTGCGGGAGGAGCAGGCGAAAGAGGCAGCTCGGATAGTGAGAGAGGCTGAGGAAAAACGCAAGGCGGATGCAGAGAAGAGGGTGCAGGAGGAGCAGGCGAAGGAGGCAGCTCGGATAGTGAGAGAGGCGGAGGAAAAACGCAAGGCGGATGGGGAGAAAAGAGTGCGGGAGGAGCAGGCGAAGGCATTGAAGGTGGCTGAAGAGAAGCGGGTGAGGCATTGAAAAAGGAGCTCCAGGCAAAGCGCGAGAGGATGTAGGCACAACTGGACGAACTAGCAAAGTTGGAGAAGGATGCAAAGGAGGAAGAGGAGAGGCAACAGAAAAGGTTGGAGGCGCAGAAGTATATGATGGAAACAGAGATGCAACAGAACGCGGCGGAGGATCCGGAGGGGGCAGCAGGGAAAGGGCAGAGAGAATACGCGATTATTAGCGTCGAGCCGACGGCCGGGATTCTTCGAGTAGTTCCTGCAGACCCTGGACAGCCAGTTGAATTTGTGGGTCTGGCAGAGGATGTTGAGTCAATGGATCGGACAGGCCACACAGATTCAGAGTCCCAAACGGGTTCGAAAAAACCCCGCACCGATCAAACAGCCCCCAACTTCAATGCCGAAGCGGAGTCAGAGAATGCGGCAGAGTCGGAAAACGAAGTTGGGGCAGGGCATGAGAATCTGGAAGCGGTGTTGGGAGAAGCGGTCGAAAATGTGGCAGAAAAGGATAGGATACCCGACGCACTGGGCAAAACGTGGGGTGTTTCCAAGCACTTCAAAAAAGCTGGGCTTTTTGAACGCGAATATCAACGGAAGGATGGGACGAAGGAGGTGAGATTCTCTTCGGAGCAAACAGTTGGAGGGAAGAAGCGAAACATGGGGAGTTTCAAGGAGAAATGGCGCCGTGACTTTACCGTTGCCATCTGCTGGATGGTGTACTATCCAGAGACCGACATGCTTCATTACGGGATGGATCCCGTCGAAGTTGGGACATGGGATCCCTACCTCGAACTCGCACGCGAATTGCCGACAGGAGTGTGGAGCGTGCTCAACAAAATGGACATGGACAAGTACGAAGAGTGAGTATCCACGATTTACGAGTCCATCTTTCGACTTGTTTATGTCACTAATGTTCCAACTATCCCACTCCTGGCAGCTTCAAGAATGTCTTCGAGAAGATTCAGGCATGTGTGAAGCGCGGCGAGCACTGGGAGATCGCGGTTTGCGTGGGGATAGGACAGGCCGTCGTCCTTGGTAGCACTGATGCGGAGTCTCCACCCAGTGGTGTCAAGTCCACAGTATATGCAGCAGGGGTGGCCGCATGCCTGTACACCTTGTGGGCTGCTTCGACAGGTATTCCGAGTTCTGACTGGGAAGACGGTGCCGTTGCGGCAGCCCGTGGGACACTCGCAGATCAAAGCCTTGCCAGTCGAGCAGCCTCAGTTTCTCGCTTCGGAATAGCGGCTCTGCGTCGAGTTAGGGACAGCGTGCATGCTCGAGGCGACTGGGAGTCGGTTCTTAGCGGAGTGATAGGGGGCATCATAGACCCCGAACCCAAGGACGAGCTGGAAGTTGGTAGCTTGGCGAAAGTGGTTGCTCGGGTGTTGGTGTACTGGTGCGAGTGCAACCTGGCTGCCGCGGGAATCTACGCGTACCAAGGGGGTTTGCTCAACTTTGCCCAGGGGACGCGAGGGCAGAAGCGGAAGGCGACTGCTGGTGGCAAAGCGTGAGGCGAGTGCTCTTTGGGATGTCAGAGGCTTTGTAGTACGTGGCATGTATTGCTTTTCGAAACACCTCCGAGATTCTTTAGTTGGTTGCAGTAGCGTGGTTCACCTTGCTTGTTTTCCAAGAGATTTTGTAATCCTAAAACTAGCATACTCTGGATTTCGAATTCCCCTCTCAAGAATGAAGGGCTTGCTTGGTTCGAATTGGGCGAGGAAAAGCTAAACTCCACATAGGCAGCGCGACTCTTGCTTTGTAGTCCGTTGCGTACTTGGTATTTCAAGACATTCGCTACCCGCCCGAATCCCTACCCACTCGCATAAGCTACGGCCCCATAATCCCGTGGGGTTTCCAACCCACCCGCGAGAAGTTCAGGAAAACAACCCGCGGGATTTCCCTCCCACCCGAACGAAGTCGTGGTTACCTACCCCTGAAGGAAATCCCGACCATCAGCGAGACGCATAGGAAACCGACCCCCTGGAAATCCCACCCACCCGCGGGAAGTCGAGGGAAACAACCCGTGCCTATTCTGATGAACGCCGGCCAGAGAATTCGTGTTCCAACCAGCGAGAATGTAGAGCCTCCCACCCGCGGGTGAACGGTGGAACCCACCCAATGTCCTTCCTCGGAACCCACTCGCGTGTGTTCCTTCCTCCCGTATATATTCGATGAATCCCGCCCGCGGACAGTTCTTGACACCCACCAGCCCTGGTTCAAGAACACCATCCCGCGCTTGTTACTATGCAATAGTTCTTGATAAACGTGAATAGCTCTACTATGAATGAGGCTGTTGGGATATTTGGACGCGCGTTCCAAGAACGTGTTTGTGCAAACCCATATCAAGTTGTACAACTATTAACTACCAGTGCTGCCACAGAATTCCTACACACGCGGAAACCCAATCCACAAATCCATCCGAACGACAAACACACACAAGCATAAGCAGCAAGAACCAACCAGGAAAAAAAAAGGTTGCAGCACACAACCCTACAACCCATGCCAGATCCACGGAACTCTCAGGCCAACTCCTCGTTGCTCTCGGATCCGCCCAACATAATCGGCTCGTTTTCGTCGTCGTCCTCGTCATCGCGCTCTCCCTCCTCGCCCTTCCTCCCAACCTCCCCCGCGTCGCCTTTCTTGCCTTTCCCACGCGTCCCCCTCTTCTTCGCGGCCTGACGGGCTTTCTCGCAGTCCAGGTAAAGGCCCACGCCTTTTGAGGCCGGACATGCAGATCCATCGTAGTTCCAATTGGCCACTACTTCGACCAGCAGGGGCACGCAAACGTGGACTTTCTTGTCCGTAGCCGCGTATCCACTCAGCACACTCTTCTCAACGGTAGCCGCGGACAGCATCGGATTAGCAGGGCGTTTCCGGATTGTCGCGTACACGTCTGCCCAGCAAGCGTTCAAACAAAACAAATCGTCCTCGCTCGCGCCACACAGCGTTGCAGCGGCCGAGGCACTTTTGAGTGGAGCGGATCGATGCTCCGCGGTAACCCCCTCAAAGGCCGTTTGCGCACCACCCGTCGTATTCCAGCGAGTGTATGCCGAGGTGAAGCTCCACATGGCAGCACAACCGAACGCCAACGCGGCCGCGTAAAGTGACTTCTGATCTTTCCCTTTCACCGCCGGTTCGTCATCCGCGGCTTCGAGCCCAATTGCAGCACAAATCGCGGACTCGACCGTAGGCTTCCCTTTCGAGTCCAAAAATCCGCGAGTTCTCTTGAAAATGTTCAACATCCTGCACGAAATGGTTCACAAACGTGTTAAGTCCCGCTGTTGAACAGAAGAACGAATACAGCCGCGGGTCGGTTGCGTACCTCTTGTGATTCGCGGCCAGTTCCCGGATAAAGATCACCGCGTAAAGCCCCGCGGTCATCTTTCGGGCGAGATCGAGATCGAGGCTCCATTCCACCTCCTCCGGTTCCGTGAGCACCAACTCAGACCTCTGCACGCGGTCGTGCCATACGGTCTGAGCCACCGCTGACAGATAGCGCACGGGCCCAGCACGCGAAAACGTGCCGAGATAGAAGCGCTCGCCACCATGATGAAGCTCCACCGCGAAGGGGATTTTTTGGCCTGGGAAAAAACGGACACCGACCATTGGCGTCTGCTTGATCTCGGCACTCTTGGAGTCCCCACCCTCATCCCCACGACCAGCACCTTTCGCCGCTGCCCGCGCGGCATGATATTTCCTCTGCGCCTCCCTCGCCTCCGCCTCCTCGTCGCCAACAGATTCTTCCGCGCCCTCAGTCGTGCCTTCCGCTGCGATCCTCGGCCTGCCAGAAACAACAGCAACCATTGCAGGCGCGGCACCTTTCGGGCCAGCAGGAGATAAACCAGCAGCACTCTTCGCTTTCTTCGCGCGGTTGGAAGCCTCGCCTTCGGCAACAGGCGGAACCGAGAGCTTGTCATGACGCACTGGCTCAACACCACCCACTCGCGTCAGCGGCAGGCTCGCGTCACCCGCTGCACCAGCTCCGAGTTTGGGATCCCGATCCGCGGAATGCACGGGGTCGCCCCACGATCCAGCGTTACCCCCGATGTTTGCCATCACTGCTCTCAGGATCATAGCCCCCGCGCCCGCACCACGCTCCGCCGCTCGCGCCACCGAGTCTTCGAGGCCGACAAGCTTGCGCCAAACCTCCGTGCGCGTCCGCTCAGCGATATCGTTGATCGCGGAAGTGACAAGGGTTTTCAGATCTACCACAGTCCCCTCAACACGTGCAAGTGTGCGCTCGGCCGTCTCCCTTTGCGACGTGGCATTCGCCCTCTCCACACGAATCTCCTGGACCGCGTCAGCAACATCAGCGCGCCCGCGCTTATCAGATTCCTCGAGGCGGGCCTCGATGCGGCTCATGGTTACCATCCCGCGCTCAAACGCCTCTTGGTTCTCCGACACCCAACCCATCAACTCCGACAACTTCTCCCGCTGCTGTGCCAACAGCCTTTCCTGCGTCTTGGCCATCTCCTTCCCACGACGGACGGCAATTGGTAGAAGTTCTAGCATTGTTGCACTTTCAATGTAACCATGTATAATGGAATCGCTAATATCGCAACTTGCTGGAAATTTATACACTAAATTTTTAAACCTCAAACAACCCTAGGAACGGTAAATGATTACTGTTATGAAACGAACAAATGGATTATTTATAGTTACAATTGTGGCTATATCGGAAATTTTGGTTTATATGTTTTCGTTTGCATTTTTGCCAAAAAACTGTAGAGTCATTCGTGTACTGTTTGCAGAATTCTGTACTGTTGGCGATGTGGTGCATAGCGCGGAAGCGACTCGCGTGTGATTCGCTCCTGCAGGATGGGAGGGGTCTCCTCTGGGTCACCACCTGTGGGTGACCTCGGGGTCACCTCGCGAAGCGAAAGCTGCAGAGGTGACCCGCGGGTCACCTAGACGAGGAGCCCGGGGTATCCCCTCAGGGGGTAAGCTGTGGGTAACCTGGGGGGAGGGTTTTGGCCCGAACTTTTTTGGGATGTAGCCCTTGGGGCGGTGGCGGCTGTCCTACTCGGCGCAAGCTTGCGCCGCTTCCGCTTGGGTCGATTACCAGCTCGACCCAAGCAGCTGGACCCACGTTTTTTCCCTGGCAAATCCGCTCGACCTGCGCCAAGAGCAACTTCCCAGGAAGACCACGTTGGGGTTTGTTTTGAAGGAGGGGTTCGGTTCGGGCGGTGCACCACTTGATTTGAGACAACCCTACCCAGGGCTGATGATTGGTCTGGGACCCAAACGTCTGCCGATCGGTCTGTCGATTGAGTTGGAGCATGCCGAACTTGCAAAGGCGCAAGAATACAAAGTGAGTGGCGGGCTGTAATCTTTCCAAAGTATTCGAAATACCATACAGCCACATCGGCCCCAAAACTTCCATTTGTTTGCGCTGAAGCCCGCCTTGCACGGAGCATTTGTAATGACAAGCGTGTATAAATCGGGTGTTCCTGCGAGGAAAAAACCCACCCGTTCTGGTGCTGAGGGGCGAAACGAAAAAAGCACGTTAGTAGGGGTGGGTGGGGGGTCTGGGGATGTGTGGAGTGAGGAATAGGGGTAGGATGACAAGGAGGTTGGGGAAGAGGGCGAGGAGGGGGTGGGGATGGAATCAGGGAAAAGCCCCAGAGCAGCCCTGGACTCAGGACGGGAGAGCCCCGAAACAAAAGCTTTATTTGTAAGGGGTGCTCTGACTCTTGCCCTGGATTTCAGGGAATTACGGGCATTTGTCCGTCTATCGACAACCCACTGTGTTTGGAACTTGGGATTTTGGATGAACGGACCACTTGTGGTGGTGTGGGGGGTGCGGGGGGTGGGGAGGACCTGGGGTGGGGGAGTTGAATAACACAACTGGTGAGTTTTTCGGATCAGATGGGATGAGTGGGAGCAGAACCAAGGTCACCACATCATTTGCTTGCAATGGTGTCGCCTCGCCCGCTCGCCCCGCTTGGCTTCGCAGCGGGATTACATCACAAAAACCAGGTCCTAATATCAGCTGGTTTTCAGCCCGAGTTCAGGACCCGCGGCTGAAATCAGACTGAAAAACGGGGCCTTTTTCAGACTGAAACCAAGGCAGTGGCTTGACTGTAATTCGTGTGCTTTTCAGGCGCTTCTTCGCTCCTTTTCAGGGCTTCTTCACCTACTGAGTTCCGAATGGTTTCAGGGCGATTTTTGCCTGGTTTCGAACTTTGACCGCGCTTCGAGAATGCTATTCTGAGAGGATTAAATTGTATAAGCTACACCTAGTATACTGTATTTTCTTAACCTTAAGTACACCAGACATAACGTTTTTAATTACGTTTCGGTATACGCTATTAAAATCAGCATATTGTAAATTGTTCTGTTCCATACAAATTAAGTTCTCAATTCCTTTTATAGGCAGGTTTCATTTTAGAGCAGCTAGCGTCATATTATATGGATAAATACAAATATGTATTGACAGCTTGCATCAAACTGCTTACAAAATGCATCACAAGTACTTAAGCAACAAATAAACTTCAAGATATGCATACATGCCATGCATAGTACTAATGCAACCACAGGAATGCTGTGACTCAGAGCACAAGAGCGCTAACAGGGATTAGTTGTTAGTATTGACAAAACAAAAAGCTTGCAGATGGGGCGCATAACGTACCTGGTCCTGGCGCCGGGAGTAATTCATACAGCATGTCCATAAATGTGTCGAGGATATGCACTCAAACCGCCACGAACCTCAGCGGCAAATGTCGATCTGCAAACAAAACGTAAAAATGACGTTAGTTTAAGAGAACGTCACAAACTCGTTAATGACAGGGCTTGCAGAGAACGTGCTTACATCGTCGGCCAATACCCTTCTTTGTATCGATATGCAGTGCTGTGAAACAGAAATAAAAAAATCGTCAGAACATTGAGATCGAGTCACAAACTGAAACGCGCAGTTGCGATAGCACAGGAAAATAAACTGTGCTTCATCGCGTAGCAAATAAGGTGCTGTAAGACAGCAGCAGTAGGTAGATCGCTAGGTTGGCTGAGGGAAACTACTGAAACATGGCTGCGGGAAGTGATTGAGAGGAAGTCGGGAAGACTAACTGGAAGGAAAACTAGAAAACTGAGGAGAAACAGAAGCTCGAGTAGCGAGAGGTGGGATGGGAGGGCAGTGTTAGGTGGGATGGAGGGAAGGAGAGGGTTACGGCAACTTTTCCTCTCATTGGTCGAGCGCCCGCTGTTAAATTGTAATGTGTTATATGTTGGTAGGCTGTAGTGGGGTAGCCAATATGGGGTACAACCCCAACTAGGGTTAGCTACTTGTACCCAACTGTTTCATTCAATGCACCATTCTTGCCTAGTCCTGTTGATATGGTACCAGAGCTCAGCTAACGGCAGGTGACTGCGAATGGCTAGGCGAGCAGCTGCGTCACGAGTCTGCCAGTGGGAACGAACACTAAGCTCAGCTGTGGCGGGAGGGGCAGGCGCTGCACCAGACGCGTAGTCATAGAGCGACACATGCTCCTTGCTATCGCTCAGGAGGAACAGCTGCAGGTCATCTAGCCAAGTGGTGAACTGCACAGGGCGGCCCTCAGCATCGAACGACAGCACGCGGATGGAAGCCATAGCGACAGTGCGACTGAGCAAAGCAAGCTGCCGCAGCGCTGCAAGCAGGTAGCTCGGTGGGGAGCGCGGCGGGCGGGCGACACTCTGAGGGGGCAGCGTGGCCGATAGCGCGGCGGGCAGGCGGCGCTGTGAGCGGGCAGCGCGGCGGACGGGCGGCGAAGCTGGCAGCGCGGCGGGCAGGCGGCGCTGCAAGCGGGCAGCACGGCGGGCGGGCGGGCGACGCTGCGAGCGGGCAGCGCGGCGGGCGGGCTACGAAGCTGGCAGCGCGGTGGGCAGGCGGCGCTGCAAGCAGGCAGCGCGGCGGGCGGGCGACTCTGCGAGCGGATAGCGCGGCGGATGGGCGGCGCTACTGGCGGGCAGCGCGGCGGGCAGCGCAACGGGCAGCGCGACGAGCAGCGCGGCGGGCGAGGGCGCTAACGAGGGGCGCTAACGAGGGCGCTAACGAGAGGCGCACGAGGGCGCTAACGAGAGGCGCACGAGGGCGCTAACGAGAGGCGCACGAGGGCGCTAACGAGGGGCGCACGAGGGCGCTAACGAGAGGCGCACGAGGGCGCTAACGAGGGGCGCGCGAGGGCGCTAACAAGGGCGCGCGAGGGCGCTAACGAGGGCGCACGAGGGCGCTACGAGGCTAGGGCACGGGGTAGCGTGGTAACCGCATGCGAGCGGTGGTGGGCCCTAAAAAAAAACGGTAAGTAGGTCCTAGGGACCTCCTGCTCTGAATACCATATCAACAGACCTTCTCCCAGACTTTCCAGACCTTCTCCCCCACCCCGAAGATGACCACTCTTCGGGTTCTGCTGCACGTTGCTGCTCAGCGTGACTACGAGCTTCACTCTCTTGACTTCAGCACAGCGTTCCTGCAGGGCAGCCTGCACGAGGAGATCTGGCTGCGCCGCCCACCTGGCTTTACTGGGTCGTTTCCTCCTGGTACCCAGTGGATGTCAGAATCACTAGGCAAGAATGATGAACTAGCAGAAGTTTTGGGTACAAATATGAAACCCTAGTTGGGGTTGTACCCCATATTGGCTACCCCACTACAGCCTACAAGCATACTACAGTTTAACACACCCCCATAGGCAAAGTGGGGGAGAACAAAGGGTCACAAGACCAGTCCAGCAAAGCAAAGCAACGCCCAGGGTGGATCACAACGTCACCACACTCCGAGCACAAGTAAAGGCCACAAGGCCAGTTCACATGCAGTGCTAGATATAGTACAAGACAAGCAACACAGTGATCAAAACCTAGCAAGCAAGCAACAAGATATATATAAAGTACAGTACAAAGAATGTCAAGCAGTGAGCAAGTGAGGAAACGTGGACACAAGGCCTAAAGAAGTACAGTGCCGCTGATGATCACTAGGCGGGAGCGCCTTGGTGAAGATATCAGCAGTGTTGGCCTTCGAGTCCACGTACACAAGCCGAAGCTGACCGCGCTGCTGAAGCTCTCGAGCAAGAAAGTAGCGAAGAGCAATGTGCTTCGTCCTGTGCTCCAGTCTGTGCTCCTGACACAAGGCAAGAGCCGCCTTGTTGTCACCGTACAGAACTGGAGGAGAACTAGGCCGCTCTCCCAAGTCAGTCAGCAGGTAGGTGAGCCAGCGTAACTCCTGTGCAGCCATGGCTGTGGCGTAGATCTCAGCCTCACAACTAGAGCTGAGAACAGAGGAAGAGCGGGTGGACCGCCACGAGACAGAACCTGAGCCAAGGCTGAAGGTGTAACCCTGTGACGACCGCTGCGTAGCCAGGTCGTCCACCCAAGAGGCGTCCGAGTGACCAGTGAGGACAACTCTGTCGCGTCCCCCAAGCACCAGCCCCATGCCTGATGTACTGCACAGGTAACGCAGCACCCTCTTAGCAGCCTCCCAGTGCTCTCGCCTGTGTCTCCCAGGCGCAACGTAACGAGCAAGGATGCTAAGAGGGTACGCGAGG